ATCAAAACAGTAGTCAGGTGTGATGGAGTGTACCTGTAGTTGCGGCTACTCAGGAGGCTGAGGTTGAAGGACTGCTTAAGCCCAGGAAGTCAAGGCTGTGATGAACCACATAATCATGCCACTGCACTCCAACCCCTCCCCTCTTGCCCTGACCCTCCCTAGCCCCATTCTTCATCTGCTTTTCCTTCTCCCTCTCCCAACTCCCCCACTGCCCCTCTGGAGTGGGTATCTGATGAAGTACACGGCTCCTGTTATGTGCTGCCAGATTTTAATGTTGCTGAAGAATTTCAGACCCCAGGGCAACTCCTCTGGCAGCTCAGACAGCAAGTGCAACCATGAAGATGTTTCTGTTAAAACTACTACCCATGCTATCAAGGAGGATGAGAGGTGTAGCCCACATTACAAAAACAAGTGGTTCTCAGCAAGACAATGCTTGGCACAGTAGGCTCACAACAAATACCCTCAGACCGCTGACTAAAGACACCATGGATTCTGAAGGCCATAACTGGAAGTCATGTTGAATCAGCTGCAACTCCAAAACGCCCTTGCTTTTATTTCGTTACTTATTTAACACTACATTTTAAAAACTACAGGGATAAAAAGAGTTTCAAATAAGTTGGTATATTTTCAGCTGTGGAAACCTAGGACCAGCAACCCTATCCACTGGGGCACTAAATGACCCTGGAATAGATCTGAAAATACAGTGCTAGCTGACACAAGTCTCCACAGGTGAAACGTGAAAGGTAACATGACCCCATCCAAGAGAGGATCCAAAGGCCTGTCGTTGAACTCACACGCACGCATGCGCACACTCGTTCCGGGACTCACAGCCATTAACAATGACTGTCGCCTTAAAGAGGAAACAAATGGTTCGCTCAGCCTCCCTGGGTCCTACACGCACACACAGAAATACAGCAGGGCGGGAAACACCCAGGGAAAATCGAAAGTCTGAACTGCCTGCTTCGCAAATTCGAGAAGGAGACACGCAGAGCTGTGGAGCGGGTACAGGGAAGCGGCGAAGGGCCTGGCGGGAGAGCGCGCAGGTTGCGGTGGGCCCCACCGACGGCGACTTCTGGCCTGCGGACCCCGGATGGGCGTCAGCGGCCCCTGCCTCCACATCTGATGCCAAAGAGAGAGAGATATAAGTTGTGCTCGCTTGGAGAGTGCGTGCTTCTCCCTTTGATTCAGGGGTCGGTGTCCGTCTCTACCCCCCTCGTTTACCAACAGCCGTCCGGGACCGAAAGGGGCGGACGGGGGGAGAGGTCCCGAGAAAGGCTCGGCGTCTGGACGCGCCCGGCCGCAGCCAGCCCTCGACCCGGGTCGCCGAGTGCAGTGAAATCGAAAGGGGCAGGCGGCGGGGCCTGCGAGGCCCGCGTCCTACCTGCGCGCCCGCGACCCCCATCGCCCGGCCTGCAGCCGCCCGCTAGACCCCGCACGGCCTGCGGAGGCGCCGCCCGGAAGGACAGACTCAGGACGGCTCGGAGGAGGCTCGCCATGCCGGCCGGCGCGCTACTCCTCGCCCCGCCCCATCCTGCCGCCTGC